AATACCATTCAGGCAATGAACATGTGCGTAAGAAGCAACAAGAAGCCTGAATGGAGATAAAAAACTTGTCAGTCATCTTTGATTTAAAAAAAGGAAAGGGAAAGAAAACAACTTTGGTCAAGATAAGTGCTTTCTCCTGGAAATACACGAGACTTAAGAACAATCACATGGTGATTAGGCTTAAACTACTGGATCAACATCTATAATCCAGATGATTTACAGATCAACATCTATAATTAGATCAACACCTAATCTACCAGTCTGGGGTAAAGGAGAAAGACAGACCTATTCATATATCTGGTAAATTCAAAATAAATTTTAACAACATTTTAAATAGATTGAATTTTTAAGGGACAAGAACACCTTGAGGTTTATGTGCTCAGTCCAGTGACCTGTCTATGGTTACTTAGTATTTCTCCAGGGATTTAGAGATATTACAGTGTTGGCTTACCTATGTCCAGGATAAGAGGGAGAAATATAGACTGCCACCAGGTTGCTAAGGTTTCTATGTAAGGAGAGCCATACCACATTCACCAATATATCTAAAAGTTCTCTACAAATCCCTCCTTTCAACTCTTCTCTCCCATCACTCCTGAACCTATGAATGGGTGGATCATGATGATGAGACAAGGATTGTGCCAATTTATGGGATGCCTATGGGTAAGAGCAGTCCTAAAAATGCTGCAGTGTACTAACATTTATCTTCCAGTTTATTGTATACAGGAGGCTCCCAAGCAAAGAGCAAAGCACAACCAGTGCAATCCCTGCACTCTGTCTTAATTGGAAGTTGATTAGGTTAATAAGAAGCTTGGAGAAAACTTATAGAAGCTGTAATTGTGTTTTAAGTGATACCTAGAAACCTATATTACACTTCAGTCAAGACTGTTGCAAGACCAGATGATTATGTGTGCTTAGAAGTCTTCCATCCTCCAGCTTTGCACTGAGCATAGCTCAGGCAAGTAGCAGAATCTGTCCCTTAGGCTTCTCCATCAGTAACATATTCACAGTCTGTGTACAGACTCATTAGGAAGCAGTCACAGAGAAGCCACAAAGAGCCAGCTGAAGGAAGAACGGCAGATTAAGGGTGTCCATGCCTACACAAACACACACCTTGTGGTTTTTTTTAGGACAGGATCTTATCCATAATTTTGTGGAGAAGATGGGTGCTTCCTTGTTAGTCTGAACATACTCTGTGTATCAGGGGGTATTTTCAAGTCTTTACCGTCATTTCTCTTCAGCAATCTTAATGGGAGATGTTGAAATATTATATTGCAATTGTTGTATTGAAGAGAAAAAGAAAAACTAATGAAATTATTTATACTTCCAGGGAAGAAAACAATGAGATTATATTGTCTCGAATGACCTTTCCTAAGTATGGGGATATAGCATCTTACACAATAGACTCTTGGTTCATGTTTCAATTACTGACCTTTACTGTGGAGAAAATTAATGCAATTTTCATCGTAATCCACCCGTACAAATAAGATCCATACGGAAGGTTTCCACATGCTGAATCTAACTCAAATGGAAAATGTCAGCTGTTTGCTACTGGATGAATTTGACTTTAATTTGTTCGGCTGGAGTCTTTTTGAATTGTGTTCCTAAAACTTTGTGTATTTTTGGTACCTATTTTTGACAGAGAATTTCCTATGTTAGAAACATTGGATTTTTCTTTGGGGATTTTCCCCCCACTTTTCTTTTTCTCAATACATGAGATACTAAACATTTCTTGGAAGTTGCCAAAGAACTTGGCTTAAATCCACAGTGTCAACTGATCCTTCCCTATTACATCCCACCAGCCAAGTACGACTACGTTGGCTCCCCACCGGATAGAAACCCTCAAAAAAACACCCCACCAAAACCAAAACAAATTAAAAATAAACACTAAAAACTCCCCCTGAAAAAAACCCAACAGGAATTGCTGATTTAGATTTCTCTCTGATTTTCTTTTGAATCAATTACCAGACCTGGAAATAGTAGTAATTTAAGTTTGGTCTGTTTTGGAGGAGATGTAAACTTTTATCCAGACATCTTAAGATCATAAGAAGACTCCAAGAGTCTTTCCAGCCGAGTGCTATGATACACTCATTCAACAGAGTAACTGTCTGCTCTAGAAGCTCTACGGTTGTCAAAAAAAAAAAAAAAAAGTAAAAATAAATAGAAATGGTCAACAACCAGACAATTTACACCGAGCTCCATGTAACTTGTCTATACCTTTCTACTGGCAGACAAAAGATGTGTTAGTGATGTAATTTTAAAACAATCCTTATTCAGACAGCCTGACAGACCCCAGAGCTGACAAAATGCAGCCTGAACTCCATGTCCAAGATGGCACAAATCCGAGAAGGCATTCATCCACTGAACAGCTTGTGCCAAAGGGACAGAACTCTCAGAGCTCTCTTATCTTTTACAGTCCTGTGTGCTGGTATTTGGGAAGGGGAGACAGGGAAAGAAAGGGGGAGCTGGCAATTAAGCCCTGTCACTTAAGACAGATCATTTAGGTGGAGGGAGTTAATCTGCTCTTGGGTTTTTGAACTAAGCGTCTGTGTATTTATAATTTGTAAACAGTTCATCTCTTAGAGGGTGTGTTACAATTCCCAGAAGCATGGTCTGTTATGTCTAACACGCAGCAGAACCCAGAAAGGCTATGTGTGTGAGCATTTTGATACAGCACGATGATAGGAAACAGAAACAGTGACCTCGTATACCACAACCCAACCAGTAGATTTCAACTTTAGGAGCTCTTGTATTAGGGAGGAAAAAAAAAATACACAGACTTCTTTTTAAAGTATAGCTGTCTGTTTAAATGTTGACATTGCAAAGGGATAATGTCATAAAATTACATTTTTCTTACACTCCCTAGAGAGCATTGGCCACCCTCCGACTTGGAAAAGTCACTTAGAATAACCTAATGTCCTTAAAGATGCAAGTCATCAGAGTTCAAGCATGGTCCACAACTGATGCAAAGGGGATATACTCAGGGCAGGATAAAGACATTAAGACAATAGAGCCCAGCACTTGACATGGGACACATGTAGTGGCTGGCAATTCTCTCTCCAGGTAATTCTGTGTCAGAATCCCATAGACTTGTAACACTAGAATATCAATTAATACAAGTTATGAATTATAATTGCTGTAATGTCGGGATATGAAGTGTTATCTTGATGAGAAAGCCTGCAGGCAGTGTCTACGGTGAGTAGCTTTCGCCAGTTCTACCACCTCTTCATTTTAAAAAGTCACAGTACATGAAATGGAGACATAGGCAAAGCAGGAGTTTTCCCAAATCCACATACTTAGTTAAAAGAAACCAAGAAAAAAAAAACAACAGTGAAGTTGTTTAGTGGAGGGAGGCAAAAACACAAAGTGATTAGATCCATGTTTAAGCAACCCAGTTGTATTTATAGAGAGAACAAGTCATTAGAGTTATATCCAGGGAAAACCTGACATAGAATATTTTGGCTTTGCAGCAACAAATCTGTTGCACAGCAGAGGATAACAGAGGATTAAATACCTATTTGGTACTTTTTTTTTTCTACCTCAGCACTTGCAAATGAAAAAGAGGAATATTAAAAAAGAAGAAATTAAATGGGATTGGTTACAGCAAATAAGTTACACTTTTAGGCATCACACAAATAAGATGTAGGATCAACATTTACAGGTATTTAGCTTTGGGTACCCACAAAATATAAATTATTGATGTTCAGAGATACACAGTATTCCTGTGAAAAGGATGCAACTTTAATTTAGTGACTTCTGATGGGTTCCAGATATTGGTCCATTTAGTTGACTAATTTCATTATGCAAAGAGTGAATTATAAATGAGGAGATTAAACAATTATCATGTGTTGCAAGAAACCTGTAATTCAACTAGATTGTCTAAAGTTCACTTTATAACTTTGATGGATTTCTGGTTGCTCATTAATATATAATCACCAGAGAAGAGCAGGTTAAATTTAAATAACTATTCTCATCAATTAGTCTGCTGAGCTTCAATTCTAGTGCCTGTGACTAAGAAGATTTAAGGTGCACTTGCTAACTGTGTTATTGATTTATTTCTCAATGATCAACAATTTCACTGTAACAGTCTTAAACAAAGAATATTCAAGAAGGGGCTTCTTAACTTAGTATGCAATCTGAAAGTTTCACATTGCCTTGTGAACATTTTCTTCCTAACAGCTAATGTTCCTTTGCATGCTGTTGCTTGTTAAATAATTCCTCACCTTTTAGCTTTAAAGTATTTATAGATTATCAGATCCTCTTTCACTTACTTATGTTTTTTCAAGCTGTATACATTAAGTTCTCTTAATCTTTCTTCATATGCCATGCCCTCTAATCCTTTTATCATTTGTCACTGTGGCTTGATAAACTTGAAAAAAATTCAATGAATGTTTCATAGCGAGAAGAATGAGTAAGTACACTCCAATAAAATAAAAAACAGGCCTTGCCAATTCCAATTCTTTCTACATTTCAGTCAACGAACTAGAGAAGTTTTTGTTGTTTTGCCTTTTTTTTTCCCAGGCTCTGGAAGAAATGTTGAGAAAATTCTAACCAGTCCTCAACAAATCACACAAATTCTGGCCTACAGAAATGGAAATGCCACATCATTTGGGGAAAGCCATTAGTACGGAACATCTATCCAACATTCAAAATGAATGTGATGGGGGATTTTGCATACTCATGCATGTCTTTGCACCTCGTCCACCCATAAGCATACCCATAAGTGCACATACATGAACATGTGCCTGTTATGATTTCAAGTACAAACTGGGAATTGCTCAGATTCAATTAATTTCAGAGGTCTCACATAGGTATTGCCACTGTTGAATGCCAAACAAACCAATCTTTTCATATTTTCAAGTTTGACAATCAGCAAACTAGTAACAATTGCTTTCCCATTTAATACAGACAATAAATGAAAATCTTATGGAGATAGGATGGCAGGTTTGTGCTCTCCCACGTTCCTTCTGATCCTAGCTAATGCAGTCGTGAGATATGCTTACCTTATCATCGTCATCCTCATCTTCATCCAAGCCCATAAGCTCCTGCAAAAGCAGATGTCCATATTACAAAACACTTATTTTTCAGTAACAGGCAATGTTCAAAAAGCTTATGATACTCCCACAGCATTTCATTACAGAGTTTTCTCCCATTTCTACTGCAAGTCAACAAAAAACCCACCACTTTCACCTTTCAGAAAGAATGTTTTGTATTCAAGGACTTTTTTTTGTGACATCCTGAACAAAGCACGCAATACCCTATACAGATTTTAAGTCTAAATAAAGCATTAGTGGCTGTGTCCAGTAGTTTGAAGGCAACAGGCTTTCAAATTCATTGCCAACTTTTACTGTCTGTAAACAGCTTTGTTCTTAGTCTGACAAATGAACCAGCTGGTATGTCAAGGCTGAGGACTCTATACTCAACTTGTTCCATCCTCACTGTTACAATGACTGCTCCGTCCCTTTAGGGCCATTACTGAAACATTAGACTTTAGAAAATACATTAGTATGAACATAATCAATCTCATGAATCACACTCAGATTTCTATGCAGCATTATTTCCTCCCCTTAACTTCTATGCTGACAGGTAGGGGAGAAAACAAAAGACTTGGCTAAGGTTTGAAATTAGAAGCACTTGGCTTTCAATTCAGGTATTTAATAAGGGAAGCCTTTTAACAGGGTCCTCTGAGTTTTTCTTACTTATTTAATAGGTACATTTGAACTGGTGTACTACAAGTTTAAATACAGCAAACATGCAAAGAATGCAAAGAATCACAATAAAAATATGTTTTGGAATTGGAAGTTTTTTTAGGAGGTTTGGTGTTTGGTTTTTTTGGTTTTATTGTGGGGTTTTTTTGGAGTTCCCCCCCACCCCAGAAAAGCAGTTGCATCTAGTATTCAGAAGGTACTGAGAGCTCAGATACCCAAATTTACTCTTTGGCTCTCTAGAATACCCTGAACAGCTGAATTAACACTGATCATGGTTTACATTTCTATAGAAGCTCCCCATCTGTAAGTCATAAACCATTTTAGTTATATTCATGAATTTAGCCTCCTGGCAACTGGATCATGCGTACAAGGTTAATATTGTTATCCCCATTTTATAGCACAGAAATCAGAGAGAATTTGAAGTCCATTTTTGCAGACTGATGCTCTGATTCCTCTATATACATGAAATGTGCATGCTGGCACATAAAACCCAAAGGTAGTGCAAATGCAGTCAAGGTCTGAAGAAGCAAAAAAATAAATAAACGTGTAAAAAGCATCGGTATTTGGAAGAAAATCTTTTCTCATCTGCAGGACAGATGTGACTATGGGTAGCACCTGATTGTCTATTTTTGACCTACAGATGGTTAGAATCATAGACACGCATAAAAAAGAAATCAGGTAATATTAAAGGCATTTTGACTACTTGTTCCATATGATCCCAAACCTGCAAAGCACTTAGGCAGATGTGTACCTTTGCTTATGCAAAATGCACCCTTGAATTTCATGGCATCGCATTGCTCGCAGGATGTGTGACAGGAAAAGGGCCAAATTTCTGATGGACCTTTCTTCAGTATTACTACAATTAACCTGTATTTTCAAACACAGTTTTTTGTAACATCCACCTGAATGATGTACTGCTCAATTTTGTTGACTTATGTGAGACTCTCCTCACTTGAACATGCAACAAACTCACCATAGGATGAATGATGGGTGCTGGAAGTTATTCTCTATGTATTTTTTCCTGGGTAAGTTATTATTATTTTATATAATCTTTTGTATCAAAACAAAAAACACCTGTTTGCCTGGAATTGTTCTGCATGGGAAGTTCTCATTTTCTTGATGAACTAAAGTAGTCATTGAAGACACACAATATATTTCTATGTTATTCTGGACATAGCTGAAATTGGAAAAAAGCATTTCTTTTACCATTTGTTTTCAAATCAAGTCTATGTCCTGGTCTGGATAACATAACTTTCCTGATTTTTTAGCAATCTTTCCACTTGGGAATGGATAAAAACTGAACTAGGAGCAACTTTTCTTGCTAAAACTAATAAATCAGCTATTGACCTTTTTAATTATAGGATATTATTTCCTTGTATAAAATCCACTCGATTCATTGGGTAAAGGTACTCTTCATGGGTACAAATGTCAATCATATTTTTATAAAAAATTAGAAGGAAGCTATAATTTGGCCTGTATTTCATTACTGTACTATTACACATTTGAAAACAGAATATTAAGGAAATCAATGAATTTACTCTCGTTTCTAACTGTAACTACATTGTTATGTAAATAAAGACAGTGGTCGACATCAAACAGCATTTCATATCCCAACAGTAGCACTTTGCCACACATGCTGTAATTATTTTTATACGTAAATCTTTTTTTTCTGCCAGATCAAATTAAAAAGCTGAATGCTAAATTTCTTGGGCGGGGGGGAACAAACAAAACATTTGTCCTTTAAAAGTGGGTGGTGAGGAAGAGGAATAAGAGCTTCTTAAAGTCTTGGATCACAGGACGAGGTTTAAAGACAACTAACTTCTCTTTCAGCTTCTACTGACTTTCCTCTTCTGTGAATCATGAATCATCAGTGTGACGCAAAGTGTAAGAGCAGTAGGAGCACGGGTTTTAGGAACTTGTCTCTTTTTAAGTCTTTCTTAAACTTAGTTAAAAACGCTTGCAGCTATTTAGTAAGTGAAATCCCCCTCCTACACACTCTCGTCATATTCTCTTACTACTCTTAATGGTTTATTGCCTGAATTGGATAATGAAAATTGAGAAGGTTGAGATTTCTTTGCAGTAACTTCGAAATAAAAATGCTGTTTAGCTACACAAGTAGCTTAATACCATTAAAATACATGACATTTTGCTCAAGGGCAAATTCAAGCTTGGGCTGCCAGAAACGTTACTGCCACTTTACTTGCCTGGGCATCTTGGGTGTTGTTGACCTTCCCTGTTGTGATGAGGGAGAAGTTGTATGCAAAGAGCACCAGCAGAGCCAGGGGCACCATGTACAGCTCCACACTCCAGACGGTGACCACAAACACCTGGGAGAAATAAAGCAGCAGGCGGGAATACATACAAGTGTTTAAAGAGGAAGACATATAAGAAAGCCTTTCGGTCATTATCCCTATGTACATTCATCCTTGAATCTCTGTTAACCTCATTCATATTATTATTTTGTCAAGGAAAACCCGCTTGCAAAGCATACATGCTTCCTATTCTGTTTGAATCCATTAGGCTGCCATTTGTTAGCTTCTCCTCCTCTCTATCTGGTAAAGTACAAGGCCACGAACATAAGGTTCATCTGAAGGCTTTATTCACTCCTTCCTGGGACCCCCTCAAGTCTGAAAGCCCTTTGTCCTTTGTGCTAGCGCATAACAGATCCACTTATAGAGGTAAACCTGCTCCATTTCATCAAACCCTAATTGCCAGGGGGTCTTTCACAGGCTAGAGGACAGTTTCTTCCTCTTGTGCAACAGGAGCCATCCAGCTCTCTCACCACTCTGCAGGGGATGATCAGCAAATGCATCTTCACCATTAATCCATTTATGTTCCTGGCATAGCAGCACAGAGAAAGGAACATCTCCTTCCAGGAGGCAAAGGCTCTAGGTTGCATGTGAAGAATTATTTTGGAAAGAAATCCAGTAAGTCTAGCCTCCATTCCCATACCCTTGCCATTTTTCAGCACAGCGTATTCCAATTGGTTGCTTGGTGTGTCTCTGCCTAGAAATGGTTTGTGTGTTTGGAACAGTATCTGACAAAATACACTAACAGCAAAACCAGAAGTCTGATTTTGAAGTTCTGTTCTGCAAATTGGATCAGCAAAACTTGTAATTAACATGACGGGGATTTAAAAAGCACTTGGGATTTTTCAAAATAAATTATACCAAGCCAAACTGCAATCCTATCTTACAAGTACCAACGATACCTGAACAGACTCCAAACTTGGAATGGCTGGCAATACAAAGTTAATAAACTAAATCCAGAACTGCCATAAAATGCATGTTGTGATCCCATTTCCTTTTCTACTCATACATAGTGTTTCCAGAAGAGTTGCCTAATACTGGTAGTAACTTGAAACTATTTTAAACAATCTCCTTTAAAGACAAGGCACAAACACATTTATCTGATTTTTCTTTCCCCGAAGGAACCTGAAATGATCAGAAACAAAAATGTCATTTTTAGAATAATACAGGTAGGTGAAAATGAGTCAGATCCACTTAATGTATCTCAAACTGCAATGAAGGGAAAACTATGGGTGATCGGAAAGCTAAATCTCTACCTCCCTTCATCTTTGGCCTGTCAGAAAGGACATATAAAGGCAAGGCTGGCACTTGCAGAATAGGATATTTATGGCAATGTATTTTGCGTTATGGACCTGAAAGTCTTACCACACTGCACTACAGAAGTACTTCCCACTGCATTCCGTGGGGTGAGAATTTATACCCCTACAAAACAGCAGCTGTTGTAACTTTTAAACAAAAAGACTTGTCTGACATCAGACAAATGGCCAGTTAATATCTACCAAGGGCCAACCAAGAAACAGTGACTGTACCCATAACCTTGCCCAAACAGCAGTTGCATTTTCTAGAGTGAACCTGTTTTATGTTAGCTGTTGCTATGCAAGGAATTAGACTGTCATCCTGTTCTTGGCATTTGTAGGCCAGTAAAACAATCTTTGAGATATATTCACTTATAAATGGGCTGACATCCAGACAATATATCCCCATACTATTGATTTGCAACATAGGAACATAGACAAGGGTTTGGTTTTATTTTTTTTTTCTTTTTGATTATGCTTTTCAACATACTAAAAAATTAGAAGCGATAATTATTCCAACAGCCACATTTCATATGAAAGCAAAGTAACAGAAACACAAGAATCCTGGCCAAGAAGGCACAGTACTTGATCTGTTTTACAGGAGCCTTGCATGGCTTTAGTTAATAAAGACCTCAAAATACAACCTAAAAAGTCCTCTATGAATTAAAAATTCTAACCTGAACAAGTTCCTCTGAAGCTATTCCAACTCCCTTGGCTGAATCTCTGCTTGCTTCGTAAGACAAAGTGAAGGTGATACCAGCTCCTGTCCTACCTCAAGTGTCACTTTAAAGAATAAGGACCTGTTATTGTACATATCTATACAGATATCTATATTGGGTATATATAGACAGATAAAAATAGACACACATATAAATATAGATCTGATCCTGATGTAATCTCCTTCATGGAAATTCATATTGCCAGGTATTAATTCAAAACATTTGCTTCAGCCTGTTGGAGGAGGTTGCATTTACATCACCTCCCTGGGGTAAGAGCAAACTCAGTTTTCTCAATGCAGCAAAAAGACTCCACTGGCAGCCAGCTAGGCAAAGTCCTACAGGAGTCAATGAAGCTCTTGAAGAACCTCTCTTCATTCATTCAGTCACAGGACTTGAACCAATTTTAGTGCATCTATCACCATCCTCTATGAACATCACTCAGCTCAGTTGCAATTATAATACAACCTTGCAATCACAGGTCATTTAGGCAAGATACAAAAATCAAGACCTTGGTGATTTTCAATCCAACAGTACATTTTGTGTATTATTAAGTTTCAGACCTTAAATAAAACTTAAAACTTAGTGACAAAATCTCACTGTAGTCTTAATTGATAGCTGAGGCACACTGTCGCTTCTCCTCTAATGCTGACTGGTTAATCAGTTGCTGAGTTATAACTCAGTGATACTTTCATAGAGCTCCCACATCTCCTCAAGAAGAGTTGCTTTACTGCTGTCACCAAAGTAGAAGGAACTTGCATTACTGTGACACAACACAGACACAAGACAAATTGATTTAGCTATTCAGAATTATTTAGCCTCAGAGGTATGGGAAATAACTGCTGTGAATATACAGTAGATAATAAAAGTTCTGAGGGTGTTTCTAAAGTGAACAGAAATATTTCGGCATTCTAACAGCATTTTGAGTAGCTCTGCAGCATCAGCTTTCAAAGCAGCTCCCAAAAAGGCCCATGTCCTGCGTTAATGACTCTTATGCAGCTCCCTGACAGTGACTACAGCATCAGCAGCCCTACAGACACCCGCTCCTCAAATTACAAGGTTATCTATCATACATATTTTTATTTTCTCCCCAGTCATACCTTATGCCTGGGAGAAGCTCCAGCATTATCCTCCCTAAACAATTTTCTTAGCAATACTTTTTGCCAAAACTCAAGAATGGTTCAGCTGCTGATACATATAATGGCTACTGCAAGGAACAATATCTTCTCAAATCTCTGTAGTCCCTAGGTTGTCTTTTGCCTAATACATAGACTGGTAAGAGAAGTCATGAACAGGTTCTGATCACTTGCTCAATATCACAGAAGTCAAGGACAGAAACCAAGCTCCTGTTTCAAATGATCCACTTACAAACCATACATTTTCCAACATTTCACATCATCGTTAGACCAAGTTCTGTCAGATATAATCCATTACATCATTGACACCTTTTCTGCTGGCCTTCAGACTGCGCGTGAGAGAAGTTAAAAGGACAGTAGCCAGTTTCTAAAATAAAAGTAAAACAACTGGAAGCTAGTTTTCCGCATTACTTCTTTTGAGGCAATTTGAGAGTATAAAAGCCTATTATAGAACTGAGCAATTTAATTCACAGCATTACAAAACAAAGATCAAAACAGAAATAGAAATGGGATAGACATAGCTAGAGGAAAAAAAAAAAAAATAGAAAAAGAGCTCTTGAAACTAATATTTAGACTAGAGTTCTACCTAGAAGAGAAGAGCAATATCACAGCCTTGGAGAAAGGACCACTTGATTTCAGCTGATTAATGTGTTGCTATTTCAAAGGGTCTAATAACTACAAGTTAAAGCTCTGGAGGTTTGGAAGCCGTTTCATCTGAAAATCATTGAAGAGGGGTCCAACTGTTCCTGTCAAGAAGCATGGAGCTTGAACAACCGTGAGAGTGGCTCTTTTGACAGCAGCACAAAAGATGAGAGAAGGCAGTCTCAACTGAAAGTAAAAACAAACCCTTAGAAACACATTTCAAATCTGGTTTTTCTGCCCCTCTGGTTCCAATTTAGGATCTGACTATTAAGAACAGACTTTAGACGGGTGTTTACTAAAGTATGCCCATAAAACATTTGTCACCAGCAAACCCACAGTCATGGGATAGAACAGTTTTAAGAGGTTTAGAAACCTAGCACTAGATAGGATTTTCTGTGTAATTTTTCTACACAGTAATTATAATTTTTTAATTCTAAAAACTAGGCTCTTTTTGACCTGGTAAGTCTTTGTAGAGAAGTAGAAGATGCTGTGTTGTGTGACAAAATAATTCTTGGAAAACAACAGTGATGGAAGAAAGAGGGATATGTTCCATCAGATGGAAAAAATAAAAGTGAAAGGAGATTAAATGCATGCAAGAAACCTATAGTAAAAGGTTATTTTCTCAGTCAATGTAGGCCCCAATGCTAATGAAATGCCTCATCAGTGGAGCTGTGAAAAATATTATTTGAAACTCCAAGTTTCAAAACCACACACAATTTAACTGAACTCTAAACTACTAACAGCTTGGTCAAAAGTTTCCTTGCAATTCATAAGCACAGTCTATTCAAATCATTACATCGGGAAAAAATTTGAGCCAATACTGCTATGAATGTCCAAGTTATGTTTTGAACTAAACCAAAACACTGATTTTTATCTGAGACACAAAGACGTGCTCCCCTTTATTTACAGAGCAGAGGAATTACATATTTTTAACTTATCTCTGCGTTATGTAGTCTCAAGTTGCCACGCATGCAAAAACAGAGTCTATAAAAGAGGAGAAATTTCTGCAGCTAAATATTCAGGGACAAACTCTCTGGCTTTTTTTTTTTTTTAAGCTTTCAGTCCCTCTGCCCCAAACAAACTACAGGATATTAGCCAATAACGTAAGATACTGGCTCCCCAAAAGGGCATTCAAATCCCTTAGAGGCAATAAGCCTGTCGACAACAAATTATTTCTGACAGATACTTATTCCTGCCCTTAGAAAGGGAGAGTAAAAGAGTAGAGGAGA